GAGAGAGAGAGAGAGAGAAATCTGCCGACGAAAAATCGGGGAAGTAGAGAGAGATCTTCCATCGTAAGATTCGCGCTCCGAGATTTTCGCCGCCGTGTGGTAAATCACGCGCGATATGAAATCCCCCGTGCACCTCTGTGCGCCACGTTGCACGCGAATAGATGTTATTTGCCACTATGCGACGCGCGATAAAGGATAACATTAGCAGGAATCGAACAGCTCCCGCATAGGGATCTTGATATTGTGCCAAAAAAAAAAGGTAGACGAGAAACGTTTACGTTGGAAATATCGATTACGCATTATACCGATATATCTTTGTTTAATGACTTTCGAAACTGTATCAAAAAATTTGAGGTGATGTCCCATCATTCCGTGAAAGATGAACAGAGAACTTTCGCACTCATAAAAAAAAGTGCTTTTTAACGCGATCGATATTGCAATTAAGACGCGAGTAAAAGGTGATTCTTCTCGTCCAAGAATTTTGTTCTTCCCCGGATGTAATGCACCTAACTTTATAGTGTTGCATAAAAGATTGAAAAAAAAGAAATTGCGAGCACGATCTCGAAGGGTTCGTGAAAAAAATGGAGGAGAGAAAAGAACACGGAAAGTACGGAAGTAGCTTCGAGCAAGCGGGAGGCGAGTAAGAGGAAGAGAAGCGGGCGGAAAGAGAAGAGATCAAGGTACAGCAGTCACGAAGTGAGATAATAAAATTAAAGCGATCGATCGTAACGTCTGACCAACTTACGACATAGTTTCAGCAAGATTACTTGAAATACGAGGGACGCACTTGATTCTATGAACGAGGAGAGGGGAAATTTAGGTCTGTTATCATATCATTATAATATTACTATACATATGTTGTTATATAGTGTAACAGAAATATTAACAAGAGACAAGTAGATATTATTTTAATTATAGAGATACAACTATAATTCGGCTATTACAATTATAATAACATTAAAATATAATGTACGTGTGCAATAAATTAGGACTTAATAGAATATTAGGACTGGATTGTAATAATAAGAGATTCTGTGTAGCGACATGAATTTGAAAGGTGCCAGATCATTTTGTCGAGAGATTTCATCGATATTCATAAGCATGATGAATTGTGTCAACAATATTATTATGTTATTAAATATATATCTGCGTAAACGCAGTAATAAACGCGGATTCGACATGAACTGTTTGACACTCGTCGCAAATGTCGCGAACAGCAGCGGCGGTTTTTCGAATGAAGGAAAAAAATATTCCAAATGATTCTCTTTACTTATCAATCTTCCTCCCTAAAAGCAGAAGGAGCTAGGCCCTTCTGCTTTTCTTGAATCCGCTCGTATCGAATATTCGTAAAGTATACGCGGAAGCTCAGTGAGGAGACGGCGAAATCTCTTCTCCGTTGGCGAAATCACTGTTTACGCTCGAACGTGTACGGAAATACGCATCGCATCGAAATCGAAGACGCGATGAACGATCCTGCCCGAGTTCGTTTCAGGCCCGCCTCAGGATACGCGAGCAACTTTCCACGATGTGGATGTAGAGCACACTCGCGAGGAGAAAATACTGATGATAAGATTAGAAATCGCGTATACGGGAATCTCAATTGCGAATCTCTTTTG